TACAAGTGGTAGTACTTTTCAAGCGTATTTTACTGTAGACTTATTGTAGTCATGATAATAAATTCATACAGAGGTATGCACCATTTAGAATAAGGCAGTTGATGTTTCCAGTAGATGAAATCCTCAAGTGCACACAGGTGGGGAGAAGGAGCAAAGGGAGGTTGTATGCCTCCCACTGATTAACAGACTTACTTTTAAAGGCAATACTTCTTTGTTGATTGAAAAAAATACAGCCATAGCTTTGGTCCATGAGCAAAGGCCAGCAACATTCCCACATACTCTCTTGGCTGTCTCAATGTTGTAGTCCACCATTTCAAAATAAGGGCTCAAAAGTTCTACCACTTCTTCATTAATGGTGTCCTTTGGAAATTGCTTAAAAATAAACAAAAATTGCTTAAAAATAAAAAAAAAATAAAAAATAAAAATCACTGATATCCTGCTTGAAATTACATTTTTCTTAAGACTGAGTAAGTAACAATCTTCAGAAAGAAAAAAAAAAAAGCTTATCTTTGTTTCATAAACATACATTCTGCAAGACAGTCCTTTCAAAGGGCAAGCCAGCTATCTTCTCCTTAAATTATCTTATCTCATTATTGGAATGTTTCAATTTTAAGAACTTATTTTCATCCTCTCCTCAAATAAGCATTTTTTACATTTTCATCTCTGAAAGCTCTCCATTTTCTCACTCAAGTTCATTTTGATGGTCAAATATTCACTATAAGTTTGCTCTTTAATGATTTATTTACAAGGTATAATGAAAGACCATCACTGAAAAATTGAAAAAAATAGTTCCCTGAAACACAAATAGGTTTATTTATGCACAAGCAGTGAAATGTTGAAACCCTTCAGTAAATTAAAAATCTTTAAAAGTAGATGCAATGCTAATTAACATTTCAGATCTATTGTATGTCTGACTCCCCTTGCACATTTATTCACCTGTGAACACCACTAAAAAATCTGTCCCCTATTTCCTAGAGTTAAGAAAATATCAAAAAGGTTGCACAAGCACCTGCAGGTTCTGTAAGAAGTTCCCTGCTGTCATGAGTTTCAAAGATTCTTGCCATGATGGGATAGTACAGCATTTTTCCTGATCAATTTTCACATTGTTCACTTTCCGCTGGAAGAGCAGTAACACACAGTCCATGATACGCATAATGAGGTGAGGAGGTCGACCCAGTGTGCGGACAGTAGCAATATCTGCAGGTTTTATTGTCTATCAATTTAAAACAAAGAATAACAATAACTGCTTTATCCTTTAATATGACATAGAGCACAATCTCACCAACCGTATTAATCCACTGCAGAAAAAAAAAAAATTGATATTATATTTTATTGAAACAATAGTAATTTGTGAGGGGCAGGCCTGGTCCTATAACAGACATAACTTCGATTAGAAGCTTTGCTTATTCACAGGCAGTTTAAGCAACCTGAGTACGACAGTGACAAACAGTAAGAAATGGGTTATTGCAGGTGTTATGACACTACACCTCTAGCCTAGCACATGCCTCCCTGAGAATTCATAAAGGAAGATTATAATTATTTGCATTTATACTTCAAGAAAGGGATTGTAAATTATTGCGATCATCTTAATCACCTTGCTTCTGCCTGCCTTTTGTTTCCCTTCAATGTTTTGCTGCTCACTGGGTTCAATGTGCACCTGACAGTTCAGAGGAGTTTTTCCAGATATCTGTGTGGAAACTTTAACCAGTGTCTCTTAATGAGCTTTTGGGAATTGTTGTGCATTTAATGCGCTATTTTTAGTGCAAGGTAAAGTGCCACTAGTTTTACTGAACTTTAACAATTCTTACTTACATTTTAAAACAGTAATGTCACTAAATGTTTAAAAACACTTGTAAGCTGTTCTGTACCTACCTCTCTTTTAATGTCACATATAGTAGTCTTAAAATATGTAAAAATTGAGTGAAATAACCAACCACAGAGTTTTTCAGTCTAGGGAGTGTACTTCACATTTATCAGATTTTAATAGATATTTGTCTACACTGCAAGCAGAATTCCATTACAGGAATCCCTACCTGGAAATTTGTAGATCTGTTATTATCACAGTTTCATTTTTTGAAAGATGAAGCCCTGTACAGTCTCATAGAGAGAATTTTCTCACTTAAAGGAGTTCCTGAATGAATAAATGAATGTTGAGAATACAGATATGCATGCTGATAGGCTTGCTTTTATGATAATTTTCCCCTTTAGGCACAGACAAAGAAATTTATTATAGCAAATGCATGAATTTCAATACTAAGCCAAATAATGTTAGTGTAGCTTTTCGTTAAAATCAGATGTTCTTTTCTTAGAATCCTAAATTTCAGGAAGAGCAGCACAGTTTTAGTTTCAAAACTTTAGCCAAAGCCAGGAAGTCAGCTGCACAGGACACTGGTACTTTTTTCATACTTGAGACATTGCCCAGTTAGCATTGCTTGTTTATGCACTTGTCAGAATGTTTGCCCACCTTTGGGGTTTGTGGTTGGAGGGGTGGAGGGGGAGTATGTTTCTCCTGTAGTTAAGTATCAGGAACTTATGAACGAGATCGTCTTTCTTATGCCACTATTATCAGCTGTCATGACATCAGGCTTTGTTTAAACATTTCCTCTCTGTCCCTCAAGAATCAAGGCAGGCAGAGGTGTTAAGCATCTCTCCCCCAAAGTGAAGTCATGCATTCAGATGATCCATGAAAACTTGCTTATACTAGATTTTGAAGACTTTGATTTGAAGGAACATCACAATAGTCTTTAACTATTACAATTGTTGGCAGCCCCTCAAGTGGAAAGGAAATCCTTCCAATAAGTCTACATGACCACCTTTGAGGTTTTTCTATCCTTCAATCTTTTTTATTTGTGGAGATGCCAGCTTCCTGGTAGCCTCTAGTATTAGGTTTACTTCAGGCGTATTAGGTTTACTTCAGATCCCACTACTGCTGCTAATGACAGAAATGCCTTGAGGAACAGTCTCTCTCAGCTACTCAGTTAGCTGAGCAGACACTAAAAAAATACTATGCAAGATCAAAGAAAAAAATCTTTTTTCATCACTAACAATGTATCATGTAAAGATATGAGCAGAGCATTATCAGTCTCCTAAAAAAGCTTTGCAAAAAGAATATGTTGAAAAACACGATGTGATGAATGATGATGAACACTAGAAATCTGAGTAATGCCACAATGCGTAAGAAAAAAGCTTTTTTTGAAGATGGCAGAGAAGAGTGGATCAGAACACTTACTCAAAATACAATTCAGTGATGAAAACTGAAAACAGGAGGTTTAGATTTGGATGGAATAATAACTGTTTATACATGGAAGTCACTTCACTCATTGCACACAAGTTGTTTTATAATGATATCAACATCAGTTACTGGTCTAACAAGCTGCAGCACATCATATATCAACTACAGTTTCAAATGAAAATTAAAACTTGCCCGTTTCTGAAAAAAATGTCTTTTTTGGGCTTGGCACTCAGGTGTAAAAAGAAAAAGAAGACTGCACCTAAAAAGCCTCAAAACATGTGTATTTATTTGCGTATATTTTCTGTCAACTGATTAGTTATGTGATGCACCTGAAACCTTATATTTATTTTCAAAGAAGTCCATCTTCTTAGTAGCAAAATAATGTTATACATGGTCCAAGTACTAACCTGTAAGGCTGCTTCTGCCTCTTCCAAAGCAGGCTTAGCAGCTTCCAGCTTCTCTTCAGCAATGGCTTTGTCAACTGAGATACTGTCTACAATAGCTTGAGCTTTGTCTTTCACTTTCTGAACTTCACCCTTTACCTTCTCAGCAGCCTGTGCTTTTACTGTAACTTCTTTCAATACCTAGAACATGAGAAAACCCGCATGCCAAATATTAAAGAAAACACCTAGTTGGAAGAATGTATTAATACCTCTTGTAAAATTTTATCTATTGAATTCCAGAACCAGAAAACTCAAACAAGATTGCTTTTGTCCCTGTTGTAAGTTTCCAAGATAGCTTTTTTCCAACACTTAACTTCCTTTTACTTGCTTAACCTTTTCAAAATAGAATAAATAAAAAGAAAGGGAGAAAAAAAAAAAAAAAAAAAAAAAACAAACAGCAGCACACTTTGAAGATTGCACATACCATGTCAGCTTTTTCATTGGCAATTTGAAGTTCCTTTTCTTTTACCTCCAGTTCTCTGCTTAAAGCAGCTACTGATTCAGAGGCCTCTTTCAATTTTTCCAATCCAGTATTCACTCTGGAGTTGAAAAGCAAAATAAGCTGCATGTAATTCCCTATGTAATTTAATCTCCACTTTTCAAATTATACCATTAATAAAATAAATCAAATCAAGCAATGATCAGTAGTAAAAGATGTTTCACACCAAAAATAAAACTTGGACAGTAACTTTCACACAAGAGTCTGATGTCTTCAGAATCAGAAAGTGACCAATAAAGATTAATATGAAGAGCATCTGTGGCTTGAAATTTTATCCACTTTAACTCAAATAGTGTGCCTTTATCATTGCATAAAAATCCTATATGTTGGTTCCATATATGTCTTCGTCCCTGTTGAGCTCCAACCTGATACTCAAAAGACTGAATTCTATACGGCAGAAAGCATTTTCTGAATACTAGAATGATGAGAAATATCTAAAAATCACTATTTCATGTTTGAAAATTATATTGAAAAGGCTAATAGAATCAAAATACTGAAATTGAGAGCAGCCAAGAGTAACAGAAAAATAGCATGAGAAAACAGAAAACACTTTTCTCATTCAGCATTAAAATGCCCCTTCAGGAATCCTTTTTGTCTATCAGAAAGTAAGACCTTACTTGGGACTTTTCAGACAAGTTTAAGAGGCTTATACAGAAGTTGATATTGCAAAGGCTAAGCAGCACTTGGACAATTAAACAAATACAGGAGAACAGATAAAGAGTAACACCTGCCAAAGCAATTCAGACTAAACAACTAAGGTTAAGTGGAACAAATTGACACACATGAACTAATCTAGTACGTTTGAGGCATCAGAAGGTAGAAAACAAGACTTTCAAAATTGAGAAGACAGTTTTTCTTAACAGTGTTACCAAAAGATACGCTAAATGCTAATTTTACATTCTATTTGAGTATTTCTAACATGAAGATAAATCTGCAAATAGACTTCATTATTTTAATAAAGCATCTGAGAAGGAGAAAGGATATATCAAAACCACTTTAGTGATCTACAAGCAAAAACCTCAGCAGCCTAAATTGGGCTCTCTGGTTACACCACCAAAAATGCCAAGGCTGTTACTTACACATTCATATCAGAAGGATACAACTCCTGATACAAAGAAAACAAAAGTTATTCTCTGGTACAGTAAAAGCCACTGTGAATATATTATGAAATCACATGTAGATGTTTTATTTTGTTCATGAAAAATACACTGAAATAATTTATATTCACCTTTTTCCCCACCACCTTTCTTTTTCATAAATCACTACCTTTTTTCTCCTGTCCAAAAATACAGTCTTTAGCTTATATACCAAGAGCAACTATGATGTTTGGTCAAGTTACACCTTTACCGTTTTAGGAAATTAAAAAAGAAATCCTTTTGCTGTGCAAAGAGACAAGCCATGCATTGAAATGAAGCATGTCAGAATATACCTATCTGGGGAAGAAAATTCCAGAAAAACAGTAGTAAACCAAGCAGTTTACCTATTTGCTAATGTATGCATTTCAGCATGCTTTTCTTTGTATGTGGTTTTATATCCTTGAATAAAGGACAGGTAGGATTTAGGAGTCACGTGTGTAGAACGCCTGTATCTTTGAAAATAATCAGAACACTTGTCTGCCACTCCATCCTGAAATGAGCCCATACACTGCACAATTTCCCTCTTCGTATTAGCAGCGCAGTCCATATCAAATGAGGAGAGAAAATGTTCAGATACTTAAGAAAGAAAAACATAAATGTAAGCAAATATTCAGGAAAACCTCTTAGCTTACAAACAAGGTAATATAAAATATGTCAGCATGTATTATGTCAGCTTTCACCAAGCTTCTGAAACCCCAGTCATCTTTACTTTCCCACCATCAGATTCTTAACATTATTCCACATTCTCAGTAAAAGTATAGACAAGGATCTGATATTCTTTCACCTCCAAAGTGCGCAACTACTTTCTCTCTCTCAACCCGTTTTAACTGCTAGCTACCAGGGATTGGGTGATCACAACCTTCCCCTGTATGCCTGATCACAGGCACAGGCACTAATAAATTCTTTCTTAAGTAGTAATTTGCCACATTTACTGATGCCTTTAACCCATCTTCCAGGGCAATTTTCTTTCAAACTGTGTTTGAAGCCTTTCTTCCATTAGAAATATTTCAACAGTCTAATACAGCAAGATTTAAAGAAGAAAAGAATCTATAGCAAATTTTAGAACCAAATAAGTTTCTTCTGCCTGTGTTCTGGCAATTCAATCAAGTTCATGACCATGGATCAGAGAATTAAGTATCTGCAAAGACAAAAATTACACCTACCTGCCACTAGAGCATCCTTCGGCCATTGGCTGAACCAATCTATAGTGCATCCAGAAATAAGAGCAGGGAACTTCAGAGCCCTAGTACGGAATTTTTCACCTACTGGTGAAAAGCAAAGAACCACATGAAGGTTCTGACGAACTCTGGTCATGAAGTAGTCATACAGAACCTCACTAGTTGGAGGTTTACGTGAATGTTCCTTTCTGAAGACTGGTATGAGGTCACTAATGATCTCATCTACTTCATCACGTGCAAATAAGTTTGACACCTTTGAGAAAGAGAAAGATTTTTTTCATGCTTTATAAGATGATCCAAAATAGTGTATATAGCATCAGGTTCATTTAATACATAGCATTTCAGGAAGGTACACATATTTCAGACACTGAAGATATTAGGGCCCTCCCCACGGCCTTAAACAAGAAATGAAGTGATTCCATTAAAAACACTGAAATCTAACTTCCTGTAAATGTAAAACCCACTGTCCTGAGTGAAACAAAAACAAGACTAGAAAGAAAAAAAAAAAAAACAAACCAAAGCAAAACGAAGAATCCATATACAATGGTTTTGCTTTCTTCTTTTCTAATAACTAGCAGAAATTACTCTGAAACACACCACTGACATTATAAATAAACAAACAAATAGAAATTATAAAAGCCATCCCATCCATTCTGGACATAAGTTTACCATATAAAACTTAATTGTACATTAATGAAATATTTAATTTAACAGACAATTTTATCTTTTTTTTAAGTAATTCTCATGTCACTGACAGCTTGTCAACACATTTAAAAAGGTCTGACCTCAACAATTTCTCTGTATAGAATGATGATGCTCATTCTTAATTTTACAATAGCTTTGTCTCACCCTAACCTAACATAATGAATCGAGTTCACTTTTTGTATTATCGCAGCAATGAAAAACACTGGTGTTTTAATTTGTGAAAGTCTGCCCCTTGAGATATAAAAGAATATTCAAATAAATTTTGTTATTTTACTTTAGAATTATAAAATTTCAAAAGCAGAAAAATGATCATGAGAAGGTATCTTACCTCTCCTGATGATAAAACATTGTTCAGGTATTCCAAGAAAGACTCATCTTTGATCTCATTGTCTGTAAAAAGAAAACAGATGCCTTTGCCTTGCAGTCCTGCTGTTCTGTACAGAAGTTTCAGATCTTCCGTCAAGTTTAAAGTGTTGTATGATCTACAAAAAAGGACAGTTATACTAACATTCATTCCTTTTAAAAAGGGTTTCCAGTTAAAAGAAAAAAAACAAGCAAATGTAAGTAAGAAACAATCTCTTGGAATGTAGGGCAAAATGGTGCCAAAGTCCAGGAATTTTAATTTAGCCACCAAAAAAGCCAAAACTAACAACAAAAAATCCACCCCAAACCTGAAGTCTTATCAAGCTATTTATTTCTCTCTTGCTAGAAAAAGTGAAAACACAGGTATTGTCTCACAAGATTTTGTCAAGTGCTCGGTGCAATAAGATACTTTAGATTTTATTGACCGATTAAAAAACTCACAACTAGTTGGCCATTTCTGTGAAAGTCATCAGTTTTATAAAAAGAAAAGACATCAGCAGCAAAGATAACAGAGAAAAAAAACCATAACAATTATTAGACAAGGTGTGGTGGGTTGACGTCGATGTCTGCATAGTCGTTTCTTTCACATATTCTCACTCATATCTTCCGGCTGCTGTTCCTCAGCAGGGTTTTTTTCTCCTTAACTGTGTTACCCCAGAGGCACTACCACCATCACTGATAGGCTCAGCCTTGGCTAGCAGTGGGCCCATCTTGTAGCCGGCTGGCATTGGCTCTATGAGACATGGGGAAAGCTTCTGGCAGCTTCTCACAGAATCCACCCCTGTAGCCAGGCTGCTACCAAAACCTTGCCACGCAAACCCATTACACATTGTTACACTGGAATGATCTCTCTAGCTGCATAAAGGACTTCAATAAAAGCTGAGATTTCTAGGATACCCACTGGGAATTAAAACAGAGAAGTGTTTGCATGCAACTTCATTAAGAGTTTCTTGTGTAACCACAATGATCTCATGGATGACCTGAAATATTGAAAACTGTATTGCAGCTGCACATTACTAGAGACGAGTTCAGGAAATAAATACATCAGTTTTACAATATTTTTCTTGATGATTAAGAAGATAATTTTTATGCATTTCAGGAAAGACATCATAATCACCAAGATAAGTTTCCATACATGTATTTAGGAGATTTCAAATTCAAAGACACCACTAAAATTAGAAATGGACACAGAAAAGACACAAATATTCTATGCTCTTTTGTTTCAGCTGCAGGTGGAAATAATGCTTGGAAGAGTTATTCATTTAATTACTCAAAATTAGACAAAAGTACTAACCTGAAAAAAAACATACTTCAAGTTATATAACACTGTTAACATTGAGTTAGCAGTATGACTATCATCTACATTGGTGAACTAAATGAAGCCATTTAAAATCTAACAATTATCATCTTTAAGAACTCACCAATTAACAGAGGGAAAATAAAACACCTATCCAAAAAGGATTCAAAATTATTCCCAGAGGCATTCTGGCACAAGTTATTAGATGTGTTTCAGATAAATACTTAAGGTTAGAAAAGTACAGAGTAAACTCCTCTCAATCAGATGTGATTCTGATCACATTTTTGCACTGGCTTGTTGACTCTGGAGAAGTCCACCTTGAGAACTCCAAATGGTTTGCAAGACAAGATTATGTTTTATCAGTATCTTTGATGAGTGTTTCCTAAAATCATGTTTACTCAAATCTTTACTCAGCCCATTCTTCCTGATAGCTTCTTTAATTCACCTGGTGCACACATCAGATTTACAAGCTTTCAGGTGCAAGAGTTCCCCGTGTTTTTTGTGGACTTTATTTTTTTCATGGGCTTTATATAGATCCTTAGATGGCAAAGCAACTTTAAGTAGAAAGCTGCACACCACTTCAATATTTCACCCTCTAGTGGTTTCATAAGTCTTTGTGAATGACATCCAGCAATTTGTTACTGCTTCTTTTGTGACCTGTACTGTAGTCTCTCCTGAAGTCATTCTTATTTCTCAACAAGATCCTCACCAAAAGGCATTCCTATATGTGAATCTACAATTTCTGCTGCCCAACACTGCTGCAAAATAATTAAAATAATTTAGCTTCTCTACAATGACACATTATTTGGGACCTGAAAACATTTTCTGGGGATTGGCTTGTCCTAGAGACACTTTGAGAGGCACTCATTCTAAAATATTTAGAGAAGAAGTTACAATTTATTTTTTATATCTTTCATGAGTTATTCCACAAGAAACCACACTGGGTTGAACAATATTAAATAAGGCAAGATATACTTGGAAAAGACTGCCAAAATACTGATATATATGTGAGATCTGCCAAATTAATGGGTGGGGATGAGGATTCCACCTCCTTATACAGGTATTATTTCAAATATTACAAGATAAACTCATAAAGGCATTATGGATAGATATAACCCAGAACTACTTTCAGTACAGTTTAGTGTACTGTGTAAAGACAGTAATGATAACTTGACACTGCCAATAGTCCTTCCTATTCTGTGAAACACACAAAACAGTTTATTATTCCAAAGATGGTAATAGCTCAGACAATGTAGAAAATCGTAGAATCATAGAATGGTTCTATAATTTTAAATCAAGCAAATTTAATAAGTCTCAAAGGATTTTCATGTCTTTCCACTCTAGGCAACAGTGCTCAGCCTACGTTAGCTTATTGTTTCTCCCATTGCAGAGACTGGAAGTCCGTTTCATTTATAGGAAGAATCCAAACACAGAGTACTTGATGCTCACCTTGTTAACATTATCTGGAATGTATCATAGCCAGCTATGAAAGATGCCAATCTTGTCAAGCTCTGCTTTCCTGAGCCACCAACTCCAATTAATAGAGCATTTCCACGAGGAGTGCGAATCACACGAGAAATCTGTATAAGATCACAGTCATTTATTGCTACAATGTATAAAAGTTACACTCCTAAAATTCCTGTGCTACTGCAGTAATATATTTATATTAGAAATGTAGACCAAACTAAATTTTTAAGGTTTAATTAAGGGAATCTGTATTATTATTAATATATTCTCTGGACATTTATACTTTGCAATATTTTCTGTAAACCTTCCAATAGCATAGCAACCACTTGATACCATCCCTGTGAATTTTCAATTATAGAATGGCATCTCACACTTCCACAAAGCACAAGTAAATCTCAGCTGTGATTTGTTAGTGATGTGCTATCATAACATGACAGATCATTAAAATTTGGAAGGAAATAACTTTCCCGACACCACACTCTCTGGACAGATTTAGTATGACTCATTTCTCCAGACCCCTTCATTGTGACCAGAAAGAGAAGTTGTCCCAGGCATCTCAAATTCAGGACAAGCAGTCTCCAGTACTGTCTACAACAGGTAATAATGCTGCCTTTATAATTAAACTTCTTAAGCTTCTAGTTTTCTTGATTATAAAAACGTACAATATCAGTATGAATATTTGGTAACAGCAGAACATCTCCCAAGTAAATCTCCCTTTCTTTTCCATTTCATTATTTCTTTTAAAGGAAAAGGCAGTAGTTATCTACTATGCCACATTTCAATTCAGAACAGTGCAATGTAAACAAAAAGACCCTCTGCAACTGAGAGCAAAAAAAATTTCATCACTGTGAACTGCATGCAGTACCTGTCCCACTGTCCATGGACAAAACAATGCCAAGAAATCTGGAAACAGCTAGATGTTGTTACATGATGCTGCTAAAACATGCCTTTAAGCACAGGAGACAAACTTGCTCCATACCACATCAGTTGCACATGGACAGGTATTCATAATACACAGAAGACCCTATGTTAATTTCCAGAACAGCATGGAGCCACTTGACCTCAAAGGCAAGGTAATACCAACCAGCTGGTTAGCAGCTGGTCTTTTTTGCACAAGTAATGACATAGTGTTGGCTCCTGTTCTCTTTATTATCTTGAACATCTGATGCCCCCAGAATTACATCATGCCAATAAGCAGCCTGGGATACCGATTTAGTTGCCTTTCCTCTAATGTACGTTTTTTCAAGTTTGTAAAAATTGTCATGCTGATTTCTGCAGTTTTAAACCCATATGTCTTACATATTGGGGGCAACATACTTGTTATTTTTCATAAGTTAATGTTTTATAAGCAAAAATAAAATCAAGTATGAAGGTTTACTCTAAGCATACTTAGTATTTAATCAGAGAAAGAAAATAGATTTGCACACCACCCATGGAATATTGCTAATCACCTCAATTATGGCTACTAGAAATTGCCAAGTAGAGTAAATAGGAAGTTTTAGCTTTATTCTCTGTGTAAGATATTTCTTAGCTTTAAAAATTTTCCTGAAGAAATCCATAAGAGAACATGATCCACTTTCCAGGGAAGACCTTCAAGGGAAGGGACTGATTTTGTGAAATTACAAGTTTCCATACTCAAAATTTTGAAAACTGAAGATGCAATATGTTTGTCAGCTATAATTAAATGTTAATTGCTTTGATACTTATTATATTGTTAGGAATGTACAATCCAATATGCAGTTCTTAATAATTTACGATAAGCAATACAGGTAAGAAAATTAGGGTTGTTCAGCCTGGAGAAGAGAAGGCTGCGTGGAGACCTCATAGCAGCCTTCCAATATCTGAAATGGCCTACAAGGATGCTGGGGAGGGACTCTTCATCAGGAACTGTAGTGACAGGACAAGGGATAATGGGTTCAGACTTAAACAGAGGAAGTTCAGGTTAGACATGAAGAAGTTCATTACTGAGAAGATGGTGAGGCACTGGAGCAGGTTGCCCAAATAGGTGGTAAATGCTCCATCCTTGGCAGTGTTCAAGGCCAGGTTGGACACAGATTTTGGTGACATAGTCTAGTGTGAGGTGCACCTGCCCATAGCAGGGGGATTGAAACTAGATGATCTTTAAGGTCCCTTCTAGCCCAAACCATTCTATGATACTATAATAACATCATGGTATAACTGAGAAACAATAGTTACAAAAAACAAAAAAAAAGCTGCTTCTTTGTATGAAGCCTATTCTGTGTTGGCCATCATATTCAGCTGTGCTGTGCTAAAAATTATGATCAGCTCCAATCCGCATTCAAAGGAACTTTAAAGTAAGTAAGCACACTGTGTATCTACAAAGGAAATTTGGACTACATTTATTTCTACTTAGCTGTGCCTGTTCCTTCATAAGCAACCATGTCCTAACTTGAATTTCATTTAACTCATTCCAAAAGAGAAAGGGCTCTCAGAAGAATAAACAAGAAGAAAGGTTTAAATAGAATTAGAATATTTAGGACCATGATCCCACCAGATATAAAAGATAGATATAAAACAATAGTTCCATCCAGTGCATTTTCAGAAAAGTTGAGTTTTAGAGTGACAGACAAAATATTTGCTAGCAATAAATAACTTGCTCCAGTTTTAGAAGTACTTTACCTTGATTTGTGCTTACCTTCACTCATAGATGATGAGAGCAAGTGAACAACAAGAACAATGGCAATCTAGTAATACTGTACCTTGACTAAATGAATCATAGCATCCTCAAAGAAAACCATGTCCATTCCAGCACCACGGACATTCCCATTGTATGCTTGCAGAAATTTATTTAAAAGATTCCGCAGCTGATGAAAGGAATAAATTGGCTCATAGATTTTGGGAATATCTAAATTAACTTCCTCTGATTTTTCACCTACAACAAAAAGCAAGTAATAAAACCTTAGCAGTTTAAATGATCGACAAAGGATCAATGTGGGAATGAGTAAGTGAAGGCAATTAGAATTCTCTTTAATCACCCAGAACCAGGATTATTATAAATAGTATTACATATTATATATACATATAAGAGTGCTGCCTATACCCTGCCTACAATGAATGGCAAGTTCAGCTGCTTAATTCTCAGTCAAAACCGCAAAAACTAAGGAGTCTTCTTTTTCTACATCTGAAATTTGAATGATGAAAAACTGAAATTAACTTAAATGCTAGATTCAAATGTAGCACCAGAGAATGAAGGTAAATAAATGCTGAAGTTAAAAAAGTTTGTAAAGAAAAAACACCCTTATAAGATTACATAATTTCACTAATGCGGAAAAAAAAAAAGAATTACTACCAAAATTAATGATTACCTTAACAAAAAAAAAAACCAAAAACCCAAAGGCATATTCACTGTGAAAAGGCATATATTTGTTCCAGCAAATTATCTGAAAACCACAAGGAACTGTCAAATCCTCCCCACCCAAAGGAAAATAGGAAATAGTACCCCTGTCTCATCTTTCCATTCATAAGCATTAGTCATGCTTAAAGGGCACTACTGAGAAAAGCCCGTTTCTGTCTTTGTACCCTCCCTTTGTATTTATACATCTTGAGATCTCCCTGAGCCTTCTCTTCTCCAGACCTAACAGTCCCAGCTCTCTCAGTCTTTCCTCATACAAGAGCCTTTTAGTCATCTTTTTGGCCCCTTGTTGGACTCTTTCCAGTATGTCCATGCCTGTCTTGTGCTGGAGGGCACAGACCTGGACACAGCACTCTAGGTGTGGCCTCACCAGGGTAAGGATCACATTCCCCAGCCTGCTGGCAACATTCTAATGCAGCCCAGAATGCCACTAGCTCTTTTTTCCCTCCAAGGGTACATTAGTGGCTTATGTTCAACTTGGTGTCCACCAGCATCCCCAGGTCCTTTTCGGCAAAGCTGCTTTCCAGATGGGTGACCACCACTATATACTGGTGCATGAGATTTGCATCTCCCACTGTTGAACCTTACAAGATTCTTATAAAGGTCCCTCTGGATGGCAGCACAACCTCTGGCATATCATTCGGAGTTTTAGATGTTTTGTGTCATCTGGGAACTTGCTGAGGGTATGCTCTGCCCCATTACCCAGATCAATAATGAAGATGGGGTACACCACAGGTTTCTGTCCTTTTGCTAGGCTTTCTTCCGCTCTCTGGGCTCAGCCACTCAGCCAATTTTCAATCCATCTCATTGTTCATGCAACCCATATATCATCAGCAAATAACTGACAGATTTCAATGGAAGAATGCCACAAGCAGACATCATGGTGGTTTTTTACTGGTTTGTTGATTGGTTTGGGTTTCCTCAAAAAATTAGCAGACATAGTATAATTCCTCTCTTATTTATGTACAGATAGCTCCATTAGTTTGAAGATTTTATGATCTATATGCTGCAGGATTTATTTTTCCAGTTATGAGTTACCATAGGTCACTCATTACTAACAATCAGCTTTGCTAAGCCTCCTCTTAGTTACCGAATAAATATACTAATCACAGTATTATTTCTAACTGGTGGAATTAAAATAAATTAAGTAATTCCAGTAAAGTAAACATTTCCCTAGTTCTTAGTAAAGTGCTGTAAGTTAGGGGAAATGGCAGTAAAAGTGGAAAAAAAGCAGGCAAAACAAGGAAACTGTATTGTTTTAAGAATAGTATCTGCTATATTTTTTCATTTTAATTTTTTCTCCATTTGCTTCCTGCATATTTTGCATTTACAAATTAGCAGTGGTCCAAAAAATAACCCCAAAACAAACAAACAAAAACCCGTACCAAATCCCAAAACATTTATATAGATGGGGTTTTTTTACTACAGAACCACCAAACCTCTCAAAATAAATTGATCATTAATTCTCACTCAGTTGTCCTTCGTATTTCATTCTGTCTATTCCTGAAGTCACCTTAATTTTAGAATTCTCTACCTCTGTATTGTTTCTGCATGTATGAAAACCTTTTTAGATTAAGACCTAATTAAATTAACCAACTTCTTATCTTAACCTACAAAACCACTGGTTAAAGGAGAGGAGTATTTCAAGTGCAAGTAAATTTCTTACAAGTTGAATGAGACACTGAAACAACTCAGCTACTGATAGACAACTAATAAGGAATACAGCAAGGAGTTAAATTGTAGTGATGTTTTCATAGTTTCAAACAATTTAAGAATTATATTAGCTTAATCTTGTTCCTGCCATTTTATTATTAACGTTAAAAGACAGCATGATCAAGTACCAAACCCAAGAAAGGGCAGACATTCACATTATTTACAGAGGCAGCTAGTGTAATACATAATTTTAAACTCTTCTCTAGTCTCAAGATTCAGAATCACAAGCATCGAATAGCAATGACAAAACTGATAAAAAACACCTTCGAACGCTTTGGTGGTCTTGAGAACACTAGCACAACTAACAATTTCTGTGAATCTAAGATCTAAAAGTTGATGTTTGAGGTTCATAACTTCAAGTCTTCGTGTATTTATCTCAGACACGAATATGTTATTACTGTACAACCCAGAGACAGAGGGAGTATATGTAAACATATCACTAACTTGAGAAAAGGGTAATTTGAAATTGATGTCAGATGTAGTTTTTTATATATTTAAGAGCTCAGAAATACATTTCTCTTTCTTACACTTCTATCATAATAGGCAATACTAAATTCCATTAAAAGGACAATTAAAACAAAGTAACACTTGTTACTCTTTTCACTTATAGCCAAAACAGGAAGGGGTTCTCAAGGCTCTGACAAACCTATTGAGGACAAAACATACCCTTTCTAAATGAGGCTTAGATAAAGTTTCATGCAGATACATTTAAAGTATAATCAAGAAGCAAGTTATTTTGAAAAATAAATGCTTCTTTTTGCACTTATTTTTCAGTTCAAAATAATGGTTTCTAGTATGCATTCAAATTTTCACATTAAAAGTCACTCTTCACTCTTTCAGTATGTATTCTGATTTGTATTCCAGTCCATTCCACATGCCTGCAGTTTAGTGCGTTATTTAAGGATCTATTTTATTACTTTCTCACACCACTTTGCTTTTTGTTTCTGTTTTATTCCTTCTAATCAAACATTTCCTATCCTTCACTTTCCTTTGTCACTGCCTTCTCACTACTGCAATTATCCAAGAAGATATGAAATAACGTTTGACCACTCATGTCAACCTTTTATTGCCTCCACTATCCACCACTACAGTGACATGAATACAGATAATTGAATCGTCCAATATCTTAAATTAACGATCTTCCCCAAAACCTAAAGAATAATTTTCTGTTCTTTTTCATCAACTAACAAATATTCCCAGGTCATTTAGCAAGGTTAGTGACACAGTGTTTTTATTTAAAAGACACAAAGACATTGTTGTAAGCCATATGGGTAATTCAAGAGGTTTTACTAACATTCAGAAGATTTTGAAAAATACTCATGTGCTATAAAATCATGTATCAGGTATTTCCTGAGTACTGGATTAGCCCAGAGCCAGTATTCTTTTACCAGGTTTCCAGGGGATGGTAGCTAGACTGTTATTTTTTATCTAGTACTGCAACCCTACCACTTCAAGTAATTCATACCACGCTCTTTCATCATTTTAGATTCTCACTATTTGGCAGTTCTTTCTATGTACCACATTGATGGAAACAAAAGCAAGACTCTCTGATACAGGTAACCTGGATATAAATATGGACTTAAGGATCCAATGAATATAAAGATGTGCCTCAGCTGGTAACATAAGACTGCCTTCAAAGTCACTGGACAGAACAGTCACCCTTAATGCATAAACTTATTAGGCATTTTTGAAGACATATTTCTATTAGTGTCTATTTTATCATATATCCTTCCCTATTCTTGCCATCTCCATGGTTATCAGAACTCAAATTTACCAGTTCTTTCAGGGGCATTCCTTAAGAAGTCAACAAAGAATGCATCAATTTCAGAATCCAGCAACACTTTTGTTTCTTCAAACTCCTCCTCAATGAGTTTTGCCAGAGCTGTGTCAAACCAGTTTACATCTTCCGAAGTTGTAAAACGATCAGCAATAACACATTTACATTCATGTTTCCACAGTTTTATCAGCACCTATATATATATAAAAAAATAAATTCAGCCAGAAATTTTTTATTTATTTTAAAATTATACTAATGCTAGGAAAGAAACCGTAGTATATTGGGTTTTATTCAGGAGAGATAATACCTTGACCTTCTCATTCTGCCCAGTGGTATTTTAAGCTTACTTTCCACTTATGTGCAAGAAGCCTTAATCTTGAATTTTGGAGTGTATTTACCAAATTAAGATTTTACTTCCTTAGCTCTAAAACCATATCCATACTTGTTAACACATGTTTATGCACTTCTAAACCACTTTTTTAACTGGTCATTTAGTAGAAGGTGAGTAAAATCATGATATGAATAATTTCATCCCAATCATAGATGTCAGTCCCAATAGTATACCCAAAATAGTTAGAAAAAAAGAGAAGGGGTTAAAAAAAAAGAAGTATAAGTGTTCATATTATTCCTTCTCCAAATTCGATATACCTTTAAAGGCCTTTGGTTTGGTCATAGGATGGAGAAGGAAAACTTGCCAGGTTCTTAATCCTGACAGCACTGGTTTTAATCCTACTCTATTACTACACAGTAGTAGAAAAATTCCAAGTGCTCTTTTAAGGCCTCTTATTTGAACTTACAGCACTTTGTACAAATGACACATGCTATGTCAAGTCTCAGAACTAATATGTAAAATTATACAATCAAAATTTGAGTAATTGGAACAAAATTAATTTAGAATATGTACACATAATTGCCTTACTGCTGAATATTTTTAGCTTCAGAAATTAAAAACAATTCTAAAATACAGATTTTAAATGTAGTAGAGTTCAGGAGCTTATTCAACGACAGAAGTACATTAAACATGAAGTGATTATATAACCCAAATGTATAACAAATTTTCCATCATTCCCATAAATATTGCTTTTCCAGCACTTCATGTTTCAGTGCTCAAAACACTAAGTGACTTTTCCTTAAAACAATTAAAAGAGAAATTATGTATAAAATGTTGAGCTTTTCTGGAAGAAAGGTGGATTATGGGGGGAAAAAAAAAAGAAAAAAAATAAAGGAATCATTTTGACTCATTACTGCAACTTCTTCTTAAGCTGTAAGCCAGAAATCATTTGTTAGACAGCTATTAGGCAGTGACTGAAAGCCTCAAGACACCCGTGGAGAGAGAGGAACCTTTAATCAATATATACATACTTTCATTGTGTTAAAATAACTTCACTGCTTCTCTTTTTTTTTTTCTTTTCTCTCACCTCTTAAAAAAATGGCATTAGTCAGTAATAGAGTGAGCAGATAAAAGCAAACTTCTTCTGTCAAAAGAAGCAATTTTTTGTTATATTTATGAAACAAAGTTGTTGTTTCAGTTGGCACTGTAATTTGAATTAAAACTTTAATTCAAGTGTGAAGTTGAACTTTACCTCAAAACAATCTGAAAAACTTTTTTAATGTGAAATGCCAAGAAGACAGACTATTCAACCTCTTTGCTACACTAATTATACTTTAATTATAACAAAACCACTGATGTGCTGCACTTACTTTTGGTTCATTGATCACTTCTGATGTAGTATTCAGCATTCCTTGCCAAATCCTTGAGAGGTCTCGAAGGTTGAAGACATAATGGAACTTGGCTGGTGTGGGCAACATTTTTAGCTTGGTAATCTGCCACAGCCTGCGTGTCAGCGGAACCAATTTGGCTACAGTTTTACTCACATCTTCTGAAAATCCCCGCTCACTACAATAATGCCCTTGTCCAATTACACCTGCAGGGAAAAAAAGCTTGCCAATTGAAAGATGTTCCTAAGACACACTAATGTAACACCAAAAGCAGCAATCTTCTTAAATTTCTTTTTCATTTTTAATCCCAAACCTTTTTCTAATTTGTTGAAATGGCTTTTCAGTCTTTATTCAAATCTTGATTCACCAGATCTTAACACCATTCTGCTACCAGCTCACTGGGTACTTATCTCTGAATTAACTGTCTGTTAAAAATATTCTTTTTTTTTCTATCAAAATATCTTCCTCAGTCTTTGAAAAGCTAATCTTTTCTCTGAGACCAATGATCCTGTCATTTGTGAGAGTCTACTCATTAGTTACTCCTTTTAGCACCAGCAGCACCTTAGCAACTCTATAGCATCATCACTAAAACTAGGAATGGCCTTCATGCCACTCTTCCTAACACATAGCATACCAATGGATTCAAAGATGTGACTGGACCTGAAAAACTTACAGATTGATGAAGTTGCAGGTAGGTAGTGATTACTGAAGGAATATATGCTGGGAAGCAAATCAGAAGGCTATTAAGCCTCGACTTTAATCATAATGTTTATAAATAGAGGGATAAAGAAAAATCAACTACTATTTTCAAAAATGGGGTGGATACAAAGCTAATTTTTCATTACCAAAAATTTTGTCAATGGAAGAATTAGAAGGCAGAGTACAGTTGAATACAGAAAATTGTCTCTTGAGCCTCTGTGGAATGTCATTGCGACCTCCCCCAGGGTGGATCATGGCAGCCAAAAACTGAATGTCCACAATGTTGGTAAATTCACCAGGCTTTTCCAGGTTATATAGTCCTTTCTGTTCCATCAGCTGCCTGACTATCTCATTAGTGACCTGTAAAATAATTAGGTATTATATAGCAGAATATTATACACACAACTAAACGAAACACAAAACACACTTATGTACTTGAAAGACCTAATAAAGTCTGTAACATTATTTTCTCAACCAAATTCCTGCTTATTTGTTTCAGGCACTACATGATTTCCAACACTGTTAAGCTGGAAATACTTCTCCCTTACAACACAAAACTTTCAGTTGTTCTAATCAAGCTCAAGATGATTCAACTTCAATAGTTTCCTTTGCTACCAAGTATTTTAATGAAATTTTCATGTTTAACAATCACAAACATGGTTCTCCAAACTGCAAACATAGAATTATTTCTGTACAATTCCATAGAATTACTTTCATAAAATTACTATTTCAATTATTGTCCACACAGCCAGTTTGCTATCAAAATTTACGTACCAAAGCGGTTTTTTTCTTGTTTTTTTCTTTTTTTTTAATTATTCTTAAAAAATGAGTGTTAGTTAAAAACATTGTTAAAATTATACAGGCTTGTTTTAAGGACCACTCAAATTGCTTCTTGTAGTCAGTATATTTATTTTGAATCTATTCAGGACAATATAAAAGTAGATGAGATCTTTTAAAAGGTTTTAAAATTAAGCACTACATATTAAACTTACCCTCTACTGCCTGACAGAAAAGAAAAGCCATTCTTAAAGTGTAGTAAGGAAAGAAAGAAAATAAGAAAATACTTTCTGCCTTCTTTTTTTATTTTCTTACAAACTAACCTGATCTCCCCATTCATTTATTATGGGCATATTCACATCATCAATGAAGACTGTCATCTTTTTGCCTGCAGGCGGACCATAAGTTGTGCCCATGCGCTTGTCCACATAACTTTCTATTGTACGCTGTTAAAAAGCAATTATTAGATCGTTACAAGCAGCCCATCCTTTCCAGATTAAAATATTTAAGCATGTTGATGGTTTTGTTACACAGAATTTTACTAAGGAAGGTTTAGACAACACATCTGCTGCAGTTAATTACACTAGTTCAACTAGAGTGCCCAAAATATCATACTGTACAGCATTAGGTTGGTATCAGAACAAATGTCTAACGTAGACGTGTAACAGTTTCATAAATTTGATAGCATTTTAAGCTTTTCTTTCATTTTATTAATTTATCTGAAGAATTGATAGTTATTAGCAATAAAGATTAAATTAATAATCTGTCCCTGCTGAAATATGTGATTCTTGAAGACCTTTCCAGCATACATCACTGTACTTCATAAAAGCATGCAGTGATAAGTAAACTCACAATCATAAGTAGACTTGATGAAATAACTTTACATAATAGTAGACTTACCACCACTTTTCTTCTCATCATCTTTCCATTATTCCATTTTTCTTAAGGTCCAGATTTTATTTATTCTATATCAAGTGAAAGCTCACTTAACCATGCGTTGTTATTCATTGGTGCAAATGTAATATCTGCATTCCTACACTGTGCTTAGGCTTCTGTACAGCAGCCTGGAAAGCCTTCTTACACAAGCGGCATCAGTTAGACCAAGACTTTAGAAAGTCAGAGGAATTTAAATGCACGTGTTGTAACAGACAATGCTTCAGTCTAGATTGTTGTCAGAAACTTGATTGTTAGACTTGCACATCTATTTCAGATTCCTTGATCATCGAACTGTCATCTATCATCAATAAACTTGACATATATTTTATAAAAATAGATGTAGTGACACTACCTTTTGTTTCTATAGCCCATTCAATAGAAGGAAAATTACTAAGTAAAATAAAATCAAAAGTACATGCTCAAATATTTAATATGCTAACACTTTATACTATGCTATAGAGCCAGATGATAGGTGATGCATCGAGCCTATAGACAGCACTTCTGATTATAGCATAGACAGTGCAACTGCTTGGCATACCAAACAGCATTTAAAATATTTCCCATATATATTGCCATCAGGATAAAAAACCTTGAAATAGCTCAAACTAGCTCAGTGGAAATTTGGACAGGCAGTACTGTTCAGGATTTAAGTATTCATAGTTCTATTTAGAGCAGCTGCACTGCATGTGTTACTTTTTTAATGAGCAATTTTCTGAAATTTAAATTGCAGACAGCACATAGTTGACAGATTGTTGTGGGTAGCATTTATTTTACTCAGGGCTTCTAGAGAAATCTGAGAGAAGTCACCAACAGCTCTACCCAGTTGGTGAGAACTGATACTTTTGACATAAAAACATTAAATGTGATGAAGTAAATAATATGCATAGTATTGTACTAATCCAAGAACAGCTCAATAACCTCTGAAGAAGTTGAAGAGAACATGGCTTTTACAGAAGTCTTAAATCATGGTTTTAGGATGCTTAGTCCTTTTGAGCAGGTGCTTTTTTATTTCAGTACTCATTTTCAATTAAATAAACCACTTTCAGAAGCATCCTCCTGACAAATTCTCAGAACAATGCTTGAATCCAGTCACATTGTATCAGAAGGTGAATGATTACTATACCTGGAAAATTAACGGAGTAGTTGCAGATGAAAAATTCAAACTCTTAACCATGTGGCTTTCAGGGTTATATTTTGACATAAAACTTTTAATAATAACAGTCTTTGCAGTTCCTTGCTCACCAATTAGTAGGACAGCCTAGACAAAGATAACATTGAAATAAGACAAAATACAAGAGCTGGGTGTCTTGGCAAAGACTCAGCAATCCCATTTAGCTTTTAAACTGAAATGAAACTAGAAAAGTTATGTAAAGTGAATTCTTAACAAGGGACATGTGGAAGCAAAACAGTTAATGTCTTGTAGGCTTTTGCAAGCCTCAAGTTAAAAATATTTGCAGTTAATGGTCGTGTCAGTCAGCACAATTTGACAGAGCAGTGGATTTTTCACAAAAGGAGTTGATTGTTTGGAAAAGGATGTACTGTCGAGAGCCTTCAATTTCTTTTGCTCTTCTTATTTACCATATCCTGCTTATCTGACACAGTTTTGGTGCATAGGTTGCATAACCTAAAGGTTGATAAACTCTCTAACTGCCCCATGTGGGCAGAGTTCATATCAGCAGTCTGGCACTCTGCTGCCCTCCATGCTGTCCCCTTTCCAACAGCTGCCTGAAAATATTGCTTCACTTCTGACCTGATCTCAGCTGCAATTATGGTTATTTCCACTACAAAAAGGATGGGTGAGTGGAAGACAACAAAGTCTGGAAGCAGTGAGTATTCAGGGGTTCAAGCATATTTACATGAATGTGGCTCTTGGAATCACCATTCTCTCTTTAAAAAAAATATTCTTCCTTTTCAATAATATAATACTTCAATTCTGTTTCAAAAATGTCATCAAAAACTGTTAGCACTATGTAGATGTGAAGTATAGAAGTACCTTGCCCTGTTTCTCAATGGTTTTGATAAGGAAATCCATTCTCACATTGTCAACATTAGGCACAAGTATAGAGCTATACTCTGGAGTGCTGCTACTGGGATATACATACTCTTCAACACATGTATTCCAGTGCACCCATTCACCTAATAAGAAAGAAATGCAGTTAATGTTTTAGAAATACAAGGCATCATCGTTTCCTTTATTTTCCACTGAGTTGACTCATCTGTTAGTGTCTCTGTCTCACATACAGCAATCCCACTCTGCAAATTCAGACCAAAATTATAGAATCATATAATCAAAGAACCTCTCAAGTTAAGGTTTGCCTCTCTTTCCTACATAAATTATGACAAGGACAAGGCTTGTCTGTTTTCATTCACTTGAAAATTCATCCACACAAAGTCCGTGAAGTTTTCTGCAACAATATATCCACATTCTGATTTCTCACAGAAAACAGGGAAAAAACTATACACTATCATCAGTAATGTGTAGCTGTAAAACAATATTTGCTAAGGAACACAAAAGAAGTTAAGCTACAAAAAACTTCTAAATTAATTCTCTAAAAGAAGCACAATTTTAACATTACTTTAAGTTTCACCCCATACCACCCATATGGGTTACTAACCATCAGATGCCACATAATAATCGAACATGGTATCTTCACTGCCTTCTGGAACACAGGGAAGATCAAGTTTTATTGTTGCATGGTTTTGAAGCCAGTGCTCCATTTTACATCTGTCTTCCAGTTCTAGCAATGCTCCTACACTCCACATAAGAGAGAAGATGTACAGCCTTTCCAAGTATTTTGGAGTCAGTTCCCCTGCTTGCTCCTGAAGGATTAAGGTTTTTATTTTCAATTGCCTGAAAATTCTATTTCATAATCAAAGTAACAATAGGTTAAAAGCCTTTGGTCATGTTTAAATTTACTGATGTTCTGCCAATAAACAGACTGAGCCAATATCAAGTGGACCACAAAACATTGAAAAGCACCCTGTAAATAGCACTTTTAACCACCCATTACAGCATTTGATCTGTTTAAATTCTAGTTTATAATCTGATAACAATTCACCAAAAAAAAAACCTGAAAGATGCGATCTGACGCATGCTACAAGGCAGTGCTTAACATCAAAACCAAATGTGAAAGAAGGCACATCGTAGCTATTACTTTCTGAAGAAAAAGTATCCTCACTAACCTGCATGTTCATTAATATTCCAAGTTGTCAAAGAATCTCCTCTCTACATAACCTTATGGCTTAAAATTATCTCCATTAGATTAAGTAAATACAGAAAAAAATCCACGCTACCTTAGGTGGGATAAGACCCTGCAGCATATTAATGCTCTGCATAATCACAAAGGCTTCCAACATTTCAATCTTATATTGCAGACACTGAATGCTGAAGTGGTACAACTCTGGGAATGATGAAGAATACAGCTGACGCAGAATTTCAGCTTCTTGGAATGAGCGACTTTTCAAAAATCCCTGTCACAAAACACGGTGAGAAAATAAATCTAGTTCCCAATGTAAGTCTCAGTAAATTCGACTCCAGTAATTCAAAAAGTCCAGCGAGTATGGAAAACTGATTTCTTGGGGAAGGGGGATGAGGAGCTCAGATTCCCTGCCTTTTGGGCATGGTTTGGCTGGCAGAAGGTCAGACTTTACCCAAGTATGAATAATTCCTACTGGCTGTTAAACATGGACACTGAAGAAAAAAGCACTTTACAGTTTTTGACAGCACAAAAACTATTTTCAAATATTTTATAATCACAGTGGCTGTTTAAGTTATACAAGAACACTGTAAAGAAAGAATTTCATATGTATTGAACACAGCTTTGATCCATTCTGTACAGTGTTAATTTCTAGTAATGATACAGGGTACCCCAGAAACATCTGGCAGTTGCAGAAAAAAAGTTAGGATTTCAGGAGGGGATGTCTGCTGTTATGTGCTGTTTTTATTGTGCATCTCAGTATCTGCAATGCTGGATAAACAGAACCTAATTAAAACTACCTATTTCTCAAGATCATGGGACAGGATTTGTTTTTTTCATGTCTTTAGCTCAACGTAGTAACCTGCTTCTATGAGTTACCCAAAGATTTCTCTCATCTCTGCCACTGAATGCTTCTTGTTTACATCCCATGAATTTATTACTTATGTGAAATACACTTGTCAGCAGAAATACTTGCAGATTCTTCCCCAAACTTCAAACTAAATTTTAGCACAAATTGAAATAAAATAAATTCCATTTAAACATTTAAAAAAAAAAAAAACCAAAACAAAAAACAACCTGGTTTTTTTGTTGTTTTCAAATGCAGGAACAGGCTTCTCAGCGAGCTTCTGAAGTCTCCATCTCAAAATTCAACAGGACATAATACTGAGCAACTTAGTCTAGCTGACTCTGCTCTGAGTGAGGTGTGTTCAACTACACAATAGAGGTTCCTTCCAACTTCAAATATTTTGTGTGTGTATGATTCTTTTATACACTTCTACCTTCATAATATTTTGAAACTCTATTTTTTACTGACCAAAATAAAGAAGCTCTGGGACTCATTACAAGTAGTTATGTATATGAAAAAGCTTTCTACAAACACATAGGTGGAAAACAATGTGCTAAAGATTAAATGGCAGAACTACTTAAAATAGATATCTGGAACTTCACCAGCTGTTCATAAAATATTAGGGGTAAGTAGAAAAGCTGCTAAGATCCTAGCAGCTTAGAGACATAGACTTAGAGACATACTGAAAAAGCCGTAAAGGTATTTTATTTATGAAGTAAAATGAAACAAAAAACAAGTAAATGCCATTGGCTCAGATGACAAAAAACTACAGGTTACAATTTTATGACTTGTTTTTTTTTGGTGGGGGAGTGAGAAAGGGACATTGGAAGGGTTGTTTCATGGCTGAAATGAACAAAATTTGTTTTGTGTTATCTAAAAGCAAAAAAAACCAAACCATGATCTTGTTTTCCTTTTGACTGTTCCTACCACTAAAATAAATTAAAAGCACAAGTTCATGGATTAAGTGAAACTACTTGCATGCAACATTTACTTCAACACAACTAAATTTAGTCTGCATATCACTTTAAAGTGAGGAGGTAAATCATGACTGATAAGGCAAAATAAATGCTTTTCCTTGAGGATTTCTAGATTCCTGAATCAGCCTGTTTACTCTTTCTTCTTCCTTGGTCTGAAGCTGTACTAGAGGCTGGCATGTAGTTGATATTTTGATAACTGAGTTGTTCTTCAGTTGTATAAAATACCTTGAATTCAAGTTTTCCCTAAAGTGAAACGTTCATGTTTTTAGAAGTGTGGTATGTTGACTACATTCCTGAAAAAATACATTATTTACACTTGTATAAACTACTACTAGAAACATTGCTATATTAAATACTGGTTTATGAGTTTTTACAATGTAGAAGGCATTTCGCAGCAAAATATCACAAAATTAGGTTCTAAAGTAACAATGGTGAAGTATTGAATAATTAACCAGTAAAACTTCTAATACATAATCACTTAGCTATCATACCTCAAGGATAGGGCTCCAGCTGAGAACTGATGAGCTCATGAATACCATCCCATTCCTTGAAACTGTTGCTGGAGAAGCATTATCAATATTATGAGGTTCAAAGACTATTTTGCAATTTGGTGCCATAGGTATCCGATCTCCATTTGCTAGTGTTAGAGTTCTATTATCATCCAGAACAGAATTAAGGTTCTCAATCCAAATAGCATCAACTGGACCATCAAGAACTATCCAGATATGGTCACCTATAATCAAAAATCACAGGTAATGCCTACCGAGGAATTTCTAGTTTCTTTCAAGGACCAGTTCATTTCTCTGCAAACGAGTTTCAAACTAATTCCAAATTCATGCATACAGCTAGAAATTCAGCTTTTAATACAATTACCATTTCCATTACCTAATTTCAATTACTTCATTTCACCTTCCACTGATAAAAATTATCCATTGCTCTGTATATAAAATCTTATCATCATAAGTCATCAGTTTGTAATAGTCTGAAACAGTTTTATGGATCCAGTCTTCAATGTACTTATAAACTAGGTTTATTTCAACTTACATAAAACAACATGAGAAAGACAAACTAAAGATCTATTTAAAACCACCATTCATTTGTTTCCAAAGAGGTGGTGTCATGTAGTGAGATTAAATGAAAGGAACTCTTGAAAAAATCACTTCGTAAGTAAAAGAGGTCTGTTAGGGGAAGATTCTTGTTCGTTCTCCTGCTTGTAAACTTGATCCAGCTCCCTTTGCTGTGCGCTGTTAGATAGCTCTTATTCATAAAGGGTCCCACTCTCATCTGCATTGCTACATATGAACCAAGAAGGTACCAGATGAGAAACCTTCTCACTTCTGAGGCAACTAGTTTTATATTTAGAGGCTTTTCATAGCTACAGTGCAGGCCTCTCAGGCATGAGATGGTCTGGAGTTCACTTCATAAGAGACATTACAGAAGTGTTGCAAATAGTGAATCTGAGGAAGTCATGTGAGCATGCTAATTTATATTTCACATTAAAGGGAAAACCAGGAAAATCTACAGTTAATGCTATGCTATGTTATCAAGGGTGCTACATTTCTAGATTTAAAACAAAACCAACAAAGTACTTTCTATTTTAAAATAGAAAAAACCTAAAGTGTTTTCTAAGTATCTGTATCATTAAAGACTAAGAATTTTTGTATGATAGTGCAAAATAAGTTAGAATTTTCCTCCCTTTTTTTTTAATTTTAGTCCTTAAAGGCCTAATGATAAGGTCACATACTAACATTCAGACAAAACAAGGAAGACTCCATTAGCACCCAACTATCTTTTAGTTAATGTAGCAGTCTAACAATATATGCTAGCATTACTTTAGGCAGAAATTGGTTGCCTAAATAGAATTGTTTAGTGTCATTTGACATGGACTATGGTATGTGCAGGGCTAGCAGGTATGACGCAAAGGAAATTCATACCCTTCTAGTACAGCAGCTGGAGACCAGTTAGAAATCTTGACAGCATCAAAATTTTTTTATAGTATGCCAGTGTTGGCGGAACTGGCACTTACCTTCCCCTGTGCTTCCATACAAGGGCCTATCATTTAAAAGACAGGGATCAGCAAATTCAGTGAAACAAAATTGCTACAATACACAGTTTCAACACAAAGCAGATAGAGCACAGAGACGATACAGTAGACAGTTCTTAGTTCTTGCAGCAATTTGCAACAATAATCCAATGCTTCCATTTAAGCACAGGGGAAAAAAAAATGAAAAGGAACTGTTTTTCATTCTACCTTTTTTGGCTTTTAAAGTTTTTCTCCACAGTGTTGAGAATATTCCATCTGTCCAATCATTTGTTGCCACATCAAGACGGCCAAACATTTGTGCAGCAGTTATAGCTTTAGGATTCATTCTCATTTCACGATGTGGCTGTCCACAATCTATGAAGGCAGATCATTAGTTAGTTTGGGTATTTATTTTCAACAGTCAGAGAACCTTGACAAATTCAAATCATTACACCCGGAAGTATGGTTTAATATGCATATGTCATTATAAGAAGTTGTGTATTTATTGGAAAATTTATCTCTTGCTATACATCCATATTTGTTAACTGTAGCCATCAAAATTTAAAGTACAAAGAAGTTCTAAAACTTCTGAAAGTACAATTCACTCTTCATAGATTTACTGGGAAGAGAAGTACGTCAAGATAAAATTTATTCAAGGTTTTGATTAATATTTTGAAGGCTTACTAAACAATAGAGTTTTAAAGCCTTTTTATGCATACACATTTTTTAAACCCAATGACTAAAAACCAAAGAAATGCTCCACACGGTTGATAGTTGGTTTTTTTCCTGTTGTGCATTTATATACATCTTGGAATAGACAAAGAATATCATATTGACATATCCCTGTGAAGTCTCTTAGGCAGCCAATTCTATCTAGCCATACTATGATCATATAGCCTTTATATTTTCCTCATTAAGAACAGTTTAAAAAAATCCTATGACTAAACCTAATATTAAAATTTACTCAGGAACCAATAACATTGAAAGAGCAAGGTTAAAAAAATAGCTTATCTTAAAATCTTAATTATAATCAGAGCTCACTGACATGTAAGAGAGAAGCCTGGCAAATCACATCATTTTACAGGTTTTGAGGTTATACCAGAAGATCAGCTTGAAAAAAGTATTGTGGCAGCTTTATCTCAGTAGTAGTTCACATCTCAGTGTTGCAGAAGTATAGGAAAAGAGTACAATGCTACTACGCATTCTTTCTGCTTTCTTTTCTAAAATGGAACAGTCATTTACACTGCAATGTAGAGCTCACAGTGTTTCTTAAGCAACTAAGTTACTGCATAGATGAGAGACTGGCTGAGTAATTTTTTACAAAAACTATCCATTTCTGGAAAATTCTATAAGCAACCCACTGAAGCCTGTGAAATGGGGTAACCCAAGCTTACCTCAAGAGATCTGTTTTTTCTTCCCCAGCTATGAGCTTTTAATAAGATCAAATAGAAGTTTTTCTACTAATATTTTGTTTAGAAATGCAGAGGACAAGAAGACACACTCCTCAAGCCTCCAGCCAGGACGCAAAATTAATATCCTTGAGTATTTTGTCACTGCCTAAATCAGGATCTCCTAGCAGCAATACAGGACAGAAGCAGTTACTTTACACTGTCTTGTGAATCATGTTCAAAGAAGACTAAATACTTAAGACTAGGGGAAAGTTTCAGCATTACCTCAGCCAAACCTGGGAGATGCTTTGATCGCTTGCCCAAGCTGTCTACCCAGACAGTGCACATCTTTCTCAGTGTTTCTAGAATAAAAACTTCTGATATAAGTATCATAATATGTATAGGATATGTATTATATGACTTCCAGACATTTTCAAGCTTTTAAAAGATACTACCACAAAAATTAGTATCATACAATACAAACTGATTCTTCCAGTAATATATTCTCACAGTGAAGTAATTGATGCTTTCTATGAAAAAACGATGTGGCTTAAAGTTTAATAACAGTTTACAACATAAATATTCACATACCTGTCATGGCTTTCATTAAAGTGTGGATGGAAACAGTTTTTCCTGAACCACTAGGTCCTAGTGTCATCAATCCATGCCTTACTTTCTGGGTTTCAAAAAGTTGGATAACTTTCAGTTTCCAAGGAGGATGACAAACAAGTCCAGCTTCCTCCACCTATAGGTAGTGACAGAAAACCAAATTACTACTAATTTAGTGCACAAGATATTTTGATGCTTTAAAAATAAATAAATCTATCTTCAGCAGAAGACTACACTCTTTGTGAAGTTTTTGTGTATATAAAAAAAACTATTTGGAAAAAGAAGGGATATAGAATCATAGAATCAACTAGGTTGGAAAAGACCTTTAAGATCAGTAGGAACAACCGTTACCCCATGACTGCCAAGACCACCACTAATTAATATCACTGAGGTCCTCATCTCAGTTTTTGAACACTTCCAGGGATGGTGATTCCACTACTTCCCTGGGAAACCTCTTCCAATGCCTGATTACCCTCCCTGTGAAGAAATTTGTATTCAAATATGTATTCAGAAAAATAAAATAAATAATAATTTTTATATTTTTTTTTTTTTACATCTTCTTAGGGTTAAAACATAATTTTAAGGAAAAGCCAAGAATTTTAGAAACACTTTGTCGTGGTTTAAGCCCAGCCGGC